TCATGATGAGAATCGCCCCCAGACCGGCCTTCTTTGCGGCCATCGCCTCTTGCGAACAGTGTGTGAGGAAGAGAACATTCTCCGGGGCTTGTTTGATTTTGCCGACAATCTTCTTAAAGGTTGCCGGATCAGTGAGTTGGCCCTCCTCAGTGTCAAAGTGATCGGCAATGAGGAGATTCATGTCTCCCTTACTAGTCTTGGCGAGGTAGCGCTTGGTGGCCTCCTTCCAGCCGTTGCTAAACAGGTACAGCTTCACCTTGTCCTCCACCACCCAGTGGTGCATCTGCACGGCCACATCCGTGTACAGGGGCGTCTCCAGGCGGCCCTTGGCGTAGCCGTCAAAGATGACGTGAAAGCGGAACAGCGTCATGCCCTCGTTGTCCTTCTTCTCGTCCAGACAGTGGGTGACGTACTTGGCGACACTCTCCTGCACCTTGCCGGCGTCCTCGTTCGGATCGGCGATCTTCGGCGCCGTCTCGTCCTTCTTTGAGGCCTTTCGCATCAGCGTCACATCGTTCTGAACGACTTCGTTTGACCAGTTCTCCACGAGGTACTTTTTAGCGTTCTGCTTGATGTACGGAAAGAGAATTTCATCGATGAAGAAAGACTTGGTCGCGGTGGCCACTAAGTCGAAGATGACAGCCGCCGGTTTGCGCGCTTTTAGCGGAGCCATTGTAGTAAAGATAAAAACAATAGATAAGTATTTTGAACACTGGAAAATTTTGTCAACTCTGTTTATTACCTGGCGTTGGGATACATTTTTAAATTGTTGGAAATGTACGAAAAATTGGCAAATCAAAGATAGATTTTTGAAAATCGTCTGCTTTACGTCATCTGTGTAGGGCGAACTGCGATTTTTTTCTTGAATTTAAAATCAAAACAAATCGCTTGAAACTGTAATCTGTAACGCTAGTGATAAGATGTCTCCCTTGAAGAGCTTGAACGGTAAAATGAAAAACTTGAAAATTCATAAGCCAGCAGTAAAGTCTCCTACAAAAGAAGAAGATACGGCAGTTGATGAAGAACAGCTAGAGAGGGAAATTCAGTACAAAACAGAACTGCTCTGGTGCCAAGACCATCTTCGGACAGAGATGGAAAAGCCAACGACCACTGACAGACAGAAGGAGGCTCTGATAAAGGCGTACAACGTCCTGGTAAATCCAAAGTCATCAATGGTCCATAAACGCCAGGTGATGAACCAACATTGCGGCGATTATCGCAAAAAGATGGCTCAAGAAGCCGTCAAAAGAAACAGTCAACCTTCGACGGCAAAGGTGCTAAATATAGCGAGGGATCGTCCTTCGGCTACCTGTCAGCTCAAAGGCACCTTTCTCAGGACGAGACAAGCCAAGTTGGGCGATGCCGGTGATAAGGAATCGACGGCTGATTTTAAGTTGTTTGATTTCTGACAGTCGAAGAGCTTCTACTTCTACACCATTATCTCCCCGCTGGCAATGTAATCCGACCTCCCCTTCTTGCCCGCAATATGCACTTTATCTTACAATAATAATATATTCAACGTGTTGGCAATAAACTGCGCTAATTGTCAGTAGCCACGACAGGTATCTCTCACATCCCCCGCACCTCGTCTGTCTCATGGTTGCACTTTTCACTTACAATCGCGGCGATTCATTCTATATCCACCCAGAGAGGGCTTTCCCGTCTGTTTAGAAGAGTGAGTGAGAGGGAGAGAAAGAAAGAAAGAGAGAGCACATGTCTCCACGTCGGCGCCGATACTCCAACGCGATACTGATCGTTGGCTTCAATTTCCATTGTTTGCTGCCATCACTCCCTGTCGCCTTCCTCACCTGCTGACCACTGTGATTGCCTACTCTAATCTGCAGCAGGCCACCGAGCCGGCGAAGGTACCCTTTTGATAGTTCTCTTCCTGCATTGCAGCCATACTCGGCCTCATTTCATCATCCACTCTCTGGCTCTCCTTATCTACACAGAAGCCGCAATCGCACTACTCGATCGGTGCTTGCTCATCTCAGTATCTACTTACTAAATAGATCAACTCCTAGTCTGTGTTTCGAATTAACACGAGTATGGCTGCACTTACCGTTGACGAAAAGTTTAATCTCATTAGCCGCAACTTGCAGGTACGTCCCATTTGACGGTTGTAAACAAATAGATTGCTCACTTACCAAATTAATTCGCCCAACAGGAAGTTCTTGGCGAGGAGCGGTTAAAGGAGATTTTAAAGGAGCGTGATGTCAAAATATACTGGGGAACGGCAACAACCGGCAAGCCGCATGTTGCCTACTTTGTGCCTATGTGCAAAATTTCCGATTTCCTCAAAGCCGGCTGTGAAGTGACGATACTTTTCGCTGATCTGCATGCTTACCTTGATAATATGAAAGCACCCTGGGATTTGCTAAAGTTCCGCACCGAATACTACGAGAATCTGATCAAAACTGTTCTCAAGTCAATCAATGTCCCAATTGAGAAGCTCAAATTCGTCCGAGGCACAGACTACCAGCTGAGCAAAGACTTTACTCTGGACGTTTACCGTCTATCATCCATGCTAACGGAGCACGACGCAAAAAAAGCTGGCGCCGAAGTGGTCAAACAAGTCCAGCATCCGATGATCAGCTCGCTACTCTACCCCGGTTTGCAAGTAAGTGTGCCTATTTAATGTTTTGATTTCCTTTCCACTAACAAAGTTGACATTAGGCACTTGATGAAGAGTATCTGAAAGTTGATGCACAGTTCGGTGGAATTGATCAACGCAAAATTTTCATTTTTGCTGAAAAGTATTTGCCCATGCTTGGCTTCAGCAAGCGAAGTCATCTAATGAACCCTATGGGTAAGTGCCCTCAGCATTCAGTTATTAAGTTGCCATTTTAACTGGTATATTTTCATCCAGTTCCTGGTCTATCTGGAGGAAAAATGAGCTCTTCGGAGGAAACCTCTAAAATTGATCTTCTCGACACACCTCAAGACGTAAAGCGAAAGATGAAGAAGGCTTTTTGTGAGCCTGGAAACATCGAGGAAAACGGCATTCTGGCCTTCTCCAAGCATGTTCTCTTTTCGCTGAATGATGAAATCATTGTTTCGCGAAAGCCTGAATATGGCGGCGACATTGTCTATACAGTGTACGAAGACCTTGAACAGGATTTTGTAGAGCAGGTAAGTGAGCAAGCGAGCGATGGCACGCCTTTGGCTAAGGCAATGCCTGGCCTTGAAAAAGCAGCTTTTTGCATTTTATTTGATTACTAATTGCTGCCTTTGCGCACACACAGAAATTACATCCAGGCGATTTGAAAGGCACTGTTGAGAAGTATTTAAATCAACTACTCGAGCCAATCAGAGAAACTTTCAAGGATCCAGCATTGCAGGAACTCTCAGAAAAAGCCTACCCTCCTATTAAAAAGAGTATGTTGCTTGTTTACTTTCTTTATCTCTTTAGTAACTCACTTTCGTTTTTTAGAGGGCAAAAAATAGAAGATTTAGCAAACATATCTTTTGCTGAAGATGGAAAACTCTTAAGTACTTTGTTGCCTTGTTGTGAATAAATAAAGAGAAATGTTCACACATGTAGTTTTTTTCGGAAAAGTTTAAAAGCGTTTTCCTGTAATTTTGGATAATTTACAGCTCAAGTATTTTAAAACGGCTATCATTATTGCTCATAGATTTTGGAATTATCTGAAATTTAGAAAAGTGAACTTTTTAGTACTATTCTCTGCCGTTTCCGTTGGTTTGTCCATTTAAGAGTCTTTTTCTTTTAGAGCTGGACTAGCTTTCTTTTACACGATTTTCACGTTCTTTCTGATGGGTTCGTCCAAGAAAAAAGACAAGGAGAAGGACAAAGACAAGGACAAGGACAAGGACAAAAACAAGGACAAGGATAAAGAAAAGGACAAGGACAAGGGCTCGAAAAAAGACAAAGGTGGAAGTACTAAGGGCACTGGAAGCAACAAAGGATCGTCAAAGACGACAACGACTACCAGCAAAGATAAAGATAAAGACAAAGACAAAACTGGAAGCAAAACTTCAACATCATCAAAGACTAAAGACAAGGACAAAGAATCGAAGAAAAAGAAAGATGAAACAAAGGTTAAGTTTGCAGCAAATGCAGAGTCGATTTCCGGTGCTGCTCCAGATGTGGTCACCAAGAATCAGGAACAAATTGACATGATTATCAAGTTGCTGGAAGGCGTAACCACTGACTTTGTGACACGTCACATCAAAGATGATTTGGGTAAGTAATGTTTTTTTGTCTTTCTTTTTGTGTGATTTTCTAACTTGCGTTTTTTACTACAGACCGCATCCAAACGATGATAAGAAATATTACCCATCGTGAAGCAGGTGAAGACTCAAAGGTGATCAAAGTGCACTTTACTGAATCACAGAAGGCAGTAATTAAGCTGGTCTGCGGTCAGCAAGAGTCTGCAGATAAACCTGGCTATATACCGAAACTGACCTACCCTTATGTGAAACTTAAATTGGTTCCCACCCGAATAACGTCTACGAAGAAGCCCAAGAAGAAGTGAACAGTACTGACACAGTTGCCCAATAACTGTGCCTATTTCAATTTCACCTACAGCATGCTCAGGTCAGCCTTCACTTTGTATACACAGTAAAATTAGTACGATTTATTACTCTTTA